GTGTGTGTGTGTGTGTGTGTGTGTGTGTGTGTGTGTGTGTGTGTGTGTGTGTGTGTGTGTGTGTCAGGACAATCGTAGCTCTGGTCTACAACGTGTTGAAGACACTGATGGAGATGAACTGCGCGCTGTTCGATGAGCTGACGTCCTCCTATAAGACGGACCGACAGCGGTGAGTTTGACTCCTGATCAGTGAAATTAGGATTATATTGATCAGATTTGGATTTGTAAACAATAGAAGTTTGAACACTTTGTTTAGAGCCTCACTGGATGAACACCTGGTTAATGTTTGGAATCCACCCCGAAACAGAACTCAAAGATTCACACGTGACTCAGTCAGTTTAAATACTTTGACCTACAGTTTGGGGTGGTAGTAGCTGGGATTGACCAACAGCACCAACTCTGAGTGCAAACTGATGGCCCGGGGACCATTTGTGGCCCCTGAACTGATTTTGTGTGGCCCCTGACTTCAGTTCAAGAATTATACTAATTTTTTTACAAAATTTTCCCCCCCCCCCCCCCCCCGGACACAGGTGGTCTGATGTAGACTTTCTATTTATTATTAGGGCAAATTTATCACAAAGAAAAATCTTACATAATAAAAAATATTGGCAACAATACCAATTATTTGTCTTTAAATAACCAGACTCTTAGCTTTTTCCACATCTATCTAATGACTTCTACTCAAAAGCTGATTTTGCTGCACTCCAATCTGCTTTTAATTAATTTATTAAATTCGTCTGAATACAGCAGGCATTTTCAACGAGAGTGACCTAAATCCTGATTTTATTAATCAGAATTGACTAAGTTGGGTTATTTTTTCCCCCAATTGAAACATAGAAAATTGCAAAGTTTCTTTCAATAAGGGAAACCTGGAAAACATTTTACGCATCCATTTCCAGCAATAAATCTAACTACTTTATTTGTTTAATTTGTTGAGCAGGTAAAGGAAAAATATTTTTGGCCCTCAAGTCTTTCTGACTTTATGATTTTGGCCCATGTGACAAAATGTTTGGACACACCTGTTTTAAAACGTTGCTATTAATCGTTTGGAGTCAACTCTTGTCTGTTAGCAAAATATCTCAAGAACCACTGGACAGATGATAATGAAACGTTCAGTAAATATTAATTGGATGTTTTTGCACAACTGATTAACTTTTTGGACCTATTTTAAATTAAGGTGGCTGCTGCAGCCATAGACTTTAGGAAACATAAAAATGGCTAGAAGTCAGTCAGTTTTACAGATATTGAGCTAGAATTTGGTGTGTTAGTAGCTGAGAGTCATTCTCAACACATACTCAAAGAACTTGTGGTTTAGTTTTTATAAAGACCCTGTGTTCCCAGGGAGAAGAAGAAGGAGCAGGAGAGGGACGAGCTGTGGAAGAAGCTGGAGGAGCTGAAGCTCAGCCACTCTGCCGGGATCCAGAACAACAGCCACAGGCTGCCCGGTATCCAAAACAACAACAACAACAACAATAGTCACAGTAACGACGAGGGCATCAGCGCCGCAGCTAATGCTGCGCCCGCCGCTGATCCCGCCTCTGACGCCGGCGAAAGCCTCCAGTGCGCCAAATGACAGCGGATGTCTGAGTTAGAAGAGGTTTGACAAGGAGGTCAGGCTCGTCGGGAGGATTTAAAGATGTAACACAAATGACACCTCAGCAGTATATTAAATCTACTTAGATTGAAATAGAATGCCATCAGTTCATTGGCAAAATAAATATATATATAAATATATATTTAAACCTAAAAAAAGACTATTTTTGGATGTTACAGTACGGCTGCAGTTTCTTGTTTGTCTGATGGACGACACGTTTAGTTTTTTTAGTGATTCTATTTGTTTTGTTTTTTCCCTTGTAATCATTGTATGAAACGTGAGGGGGCGGGGCCGACGACACAATGACTTGAACTTAATGTTTCCGACTGTGCTGCACTTAGAACAGCTGAACGGCTATTTAAAGATGTCTATTTTTAAATGTGCTTTTTTTCTTGTCGCTGCCAACACTTAAAAAATAAAACACACAAAAAAAAAGGAAAGAACGAAAACGAAAGGAACTCTGATGCTGGCAGTGTTTGGTGCAGATGGGACCACACCCTAAAAATAAAAATTAAAAATTAAAAACCACATATATATATTTATATTTATACAGAGACTCGTTTATATGCAGGAAAACACGAGGTAGATGCCTTCTGTTAGAAAAAGAATCATGGCCAAAATAGTGATTTATTTTAAAGTTACTAATCTTCTATATAAAATAGTTAACTCTGCTTTAGTGGGATTTAAAGCTGATTAAAGTAAAGATAATGTCATATTTTTAGGGGGTTCAGGTGAGAACGTGAAGTGATATTTGTACAGTAATTCACAATAAATGATTAAAAAAGGGCTATTTCTTGGAGTAGTTCAGCATTTTGGGAAATAAAATAACTTTACCGTGAGATAAATAAAAAAATGCACACAAGCCGTTAATCAGATATTTACCAGAATGATGAACTGTTCCTGTTCAAACAGCTGATTTAAACAAAATGTTTTTTTTTAGATGAATATGGTTTTGTTGGCTCCCACAGTGATGAGATGCAGGATTTTGTATATTTGCTGTATTTATTAGGTTTGGAGGCTACTTAAAGGGAAACATGCCACTCGACTTCAGATGTTCTGCTCAGTGAAAAGTTTCTGTGCCGTCAGTGAAACATTGTGGTTTTTTCCAAGCGACTTAAACTCATCTCAGCTTTTTTTTTAATATATATATTCAGAAACTCAAGACAAACATTTCCCAGCAAACTGTGGCGCAGTCAAACCAAGACAGGAGCCAGAAATTCCTGTTTCTGATCTGATGTTTGGAGCTCATTAACGCTGTGACTGCCACAGATGGTAGGAGGGACTTCTGAGAGGGTTTTTTGTTTTGTTTTGTTTTGTTTTGTTTTGTTTTTGTGAGTTAAAGGGGATCCTCTGAACCTCGGTGTCTGGTCTGTTCCGCTCGTCCGTCAGGTCCGGTCTTTTCTCCGATGCCTTTGTGTCAAAAACAGCATTCCAGCCTCTGTGAACTTTCAAGAAACTGTGTGGGAAACCTGTTTTGTAATCTCAGATCTTATTTAGGTTTCACCAACAAATAAAGTCTACTTTATCTTTCTACCTACAGCACAACAGCCTGTTTTTTTTTATTTTATTTTGAACTTTATAAAATAGTTCACAATGCTCACAGCAGGTGGCACTGTTTCATTTTCTTCAGAGTTTTTGTTCCTTTACCACTGTTAGGACTGATGAATATTTTTTGTTTTAGTAAAAGCTAAAAATCATCTTAGCATTTGGAGATGTTTATTCATGATGGCTGCTACACCCAACAAACCTTAAAAAAACTACAAGACAGTTGATAATTCTGTTAAATTTACAAATACTGACCTAATACTGACAAATCCTGAGCGATGACAGATCAGACAACATCTTGAGACAGGGAACACTCAAGATCTGTTTAAAGATGTTGCCATTAGCCGTTTGAAGTCAACTCTTTTTGTCTGTTAGCAAAATATTTTGTGAATCGCTGGGTGGTGTTCAAGAAAACTCAGGAAATAACTGGATGTGCCTCTTTCAACGGACACAATTTAAGGTGAACAACACATTCTGAGTGTGGCCCCTCATGACACTGGGTGAGGGTTAGGGTTGACACCAACAGTTTTAAATTTAGAAGTCAAATCTTTCCTGCTGGTATACATCTGTCACACTTTTTCAGCTAAAAATGGTTCATCCTTTTATTTTAAGCATCTGTCGGGATGATCGTCACATGATTGCTCTGTCACCAGGCCAACAAAAAACACGAGACGTTTGAGCCTGACGACAAAAAAAAAATCATCCATGTTTCTTTACTTGAAGGACGATGGCCTCCAGGGAAACGTGGATCCTGCGTAAGAAGAGATGATTCATTAACTGACGTGACTTCCTCCTCCAGATGTTCATCGGTCTGAGGGTTTGTCGATGCCCGTGTGTGGTTTTGTAAGTCAGCAGTGTTAGAATTATTCAAATTTGTTTTCTTCATGAGATATTTTGCTAACAGACGAAGGTAACCACAACGTTTGAGCTGAATTCTTTTTAAAAAATGCTTTAAATGTGATCAAGCAGCAGTGGTTTATGGAGAATAAAATGGTCTCAGTGAAACCTGATCGGACTTTATCCAAAGCTTATGTGTCAAACTCAAGGCCTGCGGGCTAGATGTGGCCCTCCACAGTGTTTTTGTGGCCCTGGAGAGCTTCAACGATGCCTTCCAGTTGGTTGGAATTTCAGACGTTTGAGTCGGAAATATCAACTGGAATGTTGGAACTTTGAGTCGGGAAGTCGGTGCAGTTTGATTATTCATGATGTCATCGTTTCAACATGGCTGCTCCTTGCATCAATAGAGTGATACTTTTGTGGTTTTTAGCAGTTCTGTAAGTCAGTGGTACTTGTGGTACTTTATAGTGATTATTAGGCAATATGTTTTAACTCCACGCAAAATCCCACGTCGAGCGCTAATGTGTTATTGTTGCATTATCCTGTCAGCAAGAACTAGAAAAGATTTTTGTTTTGGTTTTTTTTTTTTTCAACGTTCTGACAAGATAGAAACTGGAATGCTTTCACTGACGCCAGTCCAACATGAACACAGCATTGGTTGCTTTAAAGCCAGCATTTACCAGAAACTACATCTCCCATAATGCACGGCGATTATTTTACCCACAAAATGACGGCAGCCCACCACTAGGTGGAGCTGTGCAGGGTTCAAAAGTAACCGGCAGCCATTTTCACCAGCCGTCTTGATTCCGAACTCTCCCACTTTCTGACAGAGAATTCCCAGTGGAGGGGCGTTCCAGTTTAAACGTACAACTTGTAAGTGGGAATTCCCTGTTGGAAAGTGGGAGAGTTCAGAATTCAAGATGGCAGCTAGTCACCACAACACAGCAGTGAGTAAAACTTTTAAAAGTATTTGTCATACATGTAGGACTTTAAAGTGTTTATAAGAGGATGTGTTAAAACACTGTTCCTATGCAGGAAATACCAGGTAGAGCTCAGTGTTGGTTAGCGGTGCTCAGTGAGACGAGGAACGTGAGATTTCGGGCCACCGTATGAAAATGAGTTTGACACACCTGGTCTAAAGCAAACTTTCACTCGTAACACTTTCAACTCTGCGATGAAACTAACCGACTCCAGAACTGAGGAGACATTTTGAGGGACCAAAGCTCTGAACTCCCTGGTCCAGAGGAGGTCTGATTCTGCTGACTGAGACGTTTAATCTAATCAGGCTTTGTGGACGTGTTGCTGGTGATGTAACCTCCTGACAAAAGGCCGCATTGATGAGCGAGGGCCACAAAGCAGCTCAGTGTTTCCTCCATCCTCCAAATCATCTGCAGGCTTTAATTATGTTTCCCCTCCACGAGCTTCAGAGGATTTTTGACGGGACGTTTAGCCACGAAACCTAAAAAAAATCTCTGAACACCAGACGCTCTGAAAAGTAATCAGAAATAGACATTTATATTTGATGTTTTGACTCATCCGCCCACTCAAAAACACTAAAACGTAGATCTATTGATGACAGCAGAGGGGAAAAAGCGGTGTCGATCGGTGCCAGCAAACAGCCGAAATCAAGACAAGTCATGAAAACAGAGGCTGGCTCTGAAAGGGCGCCACGCTGAGTTTTACAAACCGTTCAGACCTGAGCCAGCTCTGGATGATGCCCACTACAGGGTAAAAGGTTCTGTTTGTTTGTTTCACTGCTTCCTGGCTGGAGTTTCTCTATCTGCTGGAAAGAAGTTGCAGATCAGGATCAGGTACAGGCAGGAAACCTGTCTAGAGTTTCATGAATAAAAGGACAACCAATCATCTTTTCTGTATCTCAAAGCAGAGGAACTAAATCATGCTATTTGATTTTGTAATTATAAACATTAAATGGTATATATTAATCTTTATTTGATGTTTATAAATGAAGTTTTGCACCAGAATCAGGCAGATTTTTTTACCGCCGCCCGGTTAACCCTGAACAATAGCAGTTGTTTGTTTTTAGCGGAGATCTTTTTTACATGTCAGGTCTACTGTGAGGAGTATCAGGAGGACAAAACGCCTTTATTGTTGTTTAGTTCGCGTGAGAAGCAGGGCAAGAGGAGGGTCTGGGGCTGGACTCTGATTGGTCCGATTCAAGAAGGTCTTTTTGAACAATGTAGGCGATGAGGTGTGTGTTTACCTGGTTTTTGTTACCTTCTCCTGGCATAAACACCTACCTGGTCAGAACCGGTAGACATTTTGGGGGTCCGCAGATTTATGGGACCCTGTTTGTTTGGGGGGGTCCGGACCGCGTTAAATGGGGATGAGCTGAGAGGCCCTAATTGGACGCACAGCTGATCTCATTACGGGGGGAAGTGGGCCCCCGGCTGGAGTCCAGGCTGGGACGGAGACAGGGAGGTGTCTCTTGAAGAGGGGGTTTTAGTGTGGGGCACTGCAGGTCCAGGTCTGGCACAAAGCCCCCACTCTTTTGTGTGATTGCCAGGCCTCCATTGTTCAGACCCTCATTAGCAGCACTTGCTAGACAAGGTTGTTTTCCCCAGTTTCTCCCAGCGGACTCTTCAACAAACTGAGAACTGAGCAAAGAAGCTCCAGTCCAGGACTTGAGGAGGACTCTGAGACACCATGGACCCGTCAGGGCTCGAGGCTGCGGCCCTGAGGAGAGGGAGCTTTGATGATGCCGCTGTTTCCCTGCGTCCTGTGAGTACTGCTGATCCCAGAAAGTTAAATCTGTTGAAAACCATTTCCTCATCATAAAAATGATTAAAATACTGCCTCTTAATGAGAAATTATAATTTACTGTACATTAAAATATTTGAACTAAAGGTCTCTCATTCCTTGAAAGAATCCACATCACCTGCTGCTTTTCATGTCAGAGTTTCAGACTAAAATAATTGTTAGATGATGAAGTAACTTTGTGCACAGTCTCATGCAGTGTTTCAGTGTTTTGCACGTTCTGTTAGCTCTTGGAGTAACGGGTACAAAGTGTTAAATAAAATGTTTTTTTTAAAAAATCACTAAAACATTTTCAGTATTTAGCTCACTTTCAGAGTGTAAAATCCTAGTTGAAAATTTTCCACTAACATTTTATGGTTGTTTAGCTCACTGTTCGTATATTTTACAAATTTTTACTAAATGTTCAATTTTAAATGTAAATATTAAATCCTCAATCTGAATGTGAAAATTTAATCTTAAAAGCTGCAGCTAAATGATAAAGTTTACATTTAGGAATTTCAGAATGGAACGCAGCCTTTGCCATTTGTTATGATGTCTTTATCCTGCAACAAATGCTAATGCTGCTAGCGCTGCTGAAGATGGCATTTAAAATTTAATTTAAAAATGTGCTCATTGAAAACAATAATGGACGAAACCTGTGGTTCAACAGTTTGAAGTGCAGCTCGGATACCGGCTGCAACGGCAAGTTTGATGCTTTGTAGGGAAGCGTTAGCAGCAATAGCAATGTTAGCGGCGAAAGCAACGTTAGCGGCGAAAGCAACGTTAGCAGCGAAAGCAACGTTAGCGGCGAAAGCAACGTTAGCGGCGAAAGCAACGTTAGCAGCGAAAGCAACATTAGCAGCGAAAGCAACATTAGCAACGAAAGCAACATTAGCAGCATTAGCTTTCGTCTCATTATGATGACGTCATAGCAAGGGCTGCATTCCATTCTGAAATTTTTAAAAGCAAACATCAATATTTAATCTAAAATTTAACTTTTACATTTAGATTTACACATTTATATTTAGAATTTAACATTTGGACATAATGTTTAAGATTTAAATTTATCATTTAATAAAAATTAGCAAAACGTAAGAACAGTGAGCTGAAAAAATAAAAATGTGTTTGACAGTTTCAGACATTTTATTTTACACTTGGCGCCTCGTACTGCAGTATGTGTTGTTATTGACCGTCAGCTACTACCACACCAAAGTTTAGCTCAATATCTATAAAACCGACAGAATTCGTCATTTTTATTTTCGCTAACAGATTAGCGGTGGCAGCCATCTTGGCTCAGGCTGATTTTCACTTGGAAAAAGTGGCTTATTTTAATTAAATTATAAAAAACAAGGAGTCCCTCCCCCCTCTGAAATGGACCCCTCAGCAGGGATCCGATGAGTCTTCATGTGTTTCAATCTCCTCAGCCTCTCGTGTCTCTGATTCAGTTCATCATGAAGCAGTCCGTCTGCTTAAACACTTTATGTCGAGCGTTCCAGGTTGTTGTTTTTTTGTGTGTGTGTGTGTGTGTGTGTGTGTGTGTGTGTGTGTGTGTGTGTGTGTGTGTGTGTGTGTGTGTTTTCTCGTGTTTTCCCTCAGCTCTAATTTTGCTTCTCCTAATTTCTCAGTGCAGCAATTAGAGCCACAAAGGCAGCCCCTCTGGCCCTCTTTCAGAACAAGTGAACAAATGATTGTGTTTTTAAGAGCATACAGAAAATGATCCCTGCTCAGTCTGCACCTAATCTCTGCCTCAAGCCTCCTGTTTAATCCGGGCCGTTACAGATTACGGACATTTCTGCCAATCAGACGTTTTAACTTTAATTTTACCTTAGCTGCAGAGACAGTACCTTGCCCTGCATCGTATTTAAATCTGATTCTGCTTCCAAACTCAGTGGTGTGGAACCAACATGATGTGAATCTTGACCCAAAAGAGCAACAATGTGGGTCAATTTACCATGTAAAAAAGATTATAATCCAGCAGCAAGACCAGGTTTTTAAAGGTGCACACCTGTTTTTTATCATTATCAACTGCTGCCCAAAGGCAAGGGTGAGCAATTCTGTTTGTACCTGTCTGTTAGCAAAATATCTTAAGAACCACTGGATGAATTTTATTGAAACTTGCAGAAATTCATCTTTGAATGAACAGCTGCAGGTGATTAACGTTTGACGTCAATCCAATTCAAGATGGCGCCACAGTCAACAAAGCTTAAAAACATAAAAATAACTATAACTCCGTCAATTTTACAAATGATTACCTTAAATTTGGCATGATAGTAGCTGAGACCAACCCTCAACACACTTTATGAGCACCAACAGATTGGATAAGAGCCTTGTTTAAAATTGGGCCATGAACTATTCAAGGTCAACTTTGTCTGTCTGTTAGCAAAATATCTCATGAACCAATAGAAAGATTTTAATGAAACTGTACAGACTTAGTTAATTGAAACATCTCTACGACTGATTAACATTTGAAGCCAACTCATTTCAAGATGGCCGCCACAGTCAGCTGACCTTAGAAAACAAAAATATGGCCGCAATTCAGTCAGTTTGACAGATATTTAGCTAAAATCTGGCGTGGTTGTAGCTACTCTTTGTGTGAGATAGGTATTGATAAGACCTTTTATTTTACCAATGAAATAAAAAGATGAAAAACATTTTGTAAAAATCAGTTTCTGTTTTCCCTCCAGCACTTCAGACACTTGGCTCAGAGGCGACGCTCGGCTCCATCGCTCGTGTTTGGGAAAGCTCTGGGGATGACGTGGTCTCCTATCAGGTGACTATTGTTTATTTATTTATTTAAAAAATTAACCCAAACCTCCGGCGTACAGATGGCAGCACCCACAAACACGAGCTGAAAGCCCCGCCTCACGCTGCACAGAGAAAAAACACACGACGCACTTCCTGTTCTGGCCCTGATCCCACCACGTGGCCCGTGACCCTCCCCTCCCCCCGCAGCCCACTGTGATCAGGCCACAGACGCAGGTGTCCCTCAGGGGATTCACACCGACACAGAGGTGTTTTTACAACTACACCTAACCGTCCCCTGTAAACACCTCAACTAAAGTTTCAGCTAAAAAATCACAAAACAGCTGAAAACTTTAAGCTAAAAACAAACGAGGCATTGTGAAAGTTTTTAGCTGATGTTTGCCACCTTGAAAAGGTGGGCGACAGCGTAGCTGTCAGTGTGTAGGTTGTTTGTGTTTGTTAGCAAAATATCTCATGAGTATGAAACTAATGATTGACTCTACATGGCTGCCGTTTTTGCTGATCATTTTTAGCCTGTAACTCGGGTCAGTTTTATGAATATGAAGCTAAAATTCAGTGTTTTATTAGCGAGAGTCATCTTTTAAAATACAGTTTGAGGGCTTACAGGTTGGATTTAACATTTAGACATTTATCCTCCATAATCTAAAACAGCTACCTTGATAAATAAATAAAACAATCTTTATATATGAGTATTAATACCATTACAGCTTGTTGGATGAACTTTTTAACAGGTTTTCAGTTCTGTTAACGGCTTTAAAAAACTCGTGGCGTCAGACCCGTGGGCTCTGGATCTCCCCCGTCTTGTTTGTTTAACCTTTCTCGAGCCGTCATCAAAAGCTGACTGAAGACCACCGGAGAAGTGGGCGAGTCCTCCCCTCAAAGTGAAACTGACGGATGTCTGAAACGTCCCACCTTCACACATCCACCCATTCAGCGCTCAAACATCATCACTGGGGGGCGGCGGTGGTGAGGGGGCTGCTAGTTTCACTACAGTGGGATTACCTTCGACATCTGAGAACAAAGTACGTCAAAGAAGACCTTAAGCTCTACAGCTGTGTATAAATATTAAATACAATAATATATATAATATAATATATCTAAATTATTGGATGAAGCAGAGGAAGAAAAACACAATTATTCAGAATAAAATGAATAAAACTCTAGTAACTAATCAAATTGCTGTGAAAATGCAGAGGTGAGCGCTGGATAACTGCTGAAGTTGAGTTGTTAAAGCTAAAAGAAGCAAAAGTAGCAAAATGTTAGCTAAAACTACTAAAAGGCTTGCTAAAATCTAAATGTATTAAAGAGCATCTCAAAGCAAAAATGAGTAAAAATAAAAGGATAGCTAGAAAAAAGGTTAGCTAAAAGAAAGTCATGTTAGCTGAAAGTAGCCAAACACTTTTAAAGTAGCAAAAGGCTAGCTAAAAGCTAAATGTATCGAAGAGTAGCTCAAAGCAAATATTAAAAATAACAAAATGGTAGCTAAAAAATACAAGATCAGCTAAAAGAAAGTAATGTTAGCTGAAAGTAGCAAAAGGCTAACCAAAAGCTAAAAAAAGGCTATAGATCTTAGTTCAAATGTTTCGGAGTGTGGTTCCATAAAGAGGTTGTGAACAGTTAATGTCTTACCTGTTATAGATCGCTCTATGAATGACCTCATTTTGAGGAAATAGTTTAATTTTGAGCAGATTCATGAGCCAAAGAGTCTGAACAGATTTCATTTCTTAGAATTTAAATCTGAATTATTATTTTTTATTATGATTCTTTTTTAAGGATAGAAAAAGCTTTCAGCTTAGTGTTTCAGTATTTTAAAGTTGGCCACCGAAAGGTGACAGGGAAAGTACCTCAGCTGAGAAAAATTTGAATTTTTGCTCTAAACTGAGACACAGTGGGAAGTGAATTCACCCAAACTGGTTTCACAAACTCAGTGTCAGGATCTACAGTTTTTTTTTCTTTTTGTTTGTTTGTTTTCTGGTAGCTTTTTGTGTTTTCTGTTTGTTGATTTATTTTTTCTTCTTTGTTTCCTGTTGTTTTCTGTCCCCCACTATTCCCTCAGCTTTAGCTCCGCCCACTCTCACCTGTCCCCAGTTGTTATTAGCTAAGTTCACACAGCAGGTGTTGAAGTTAAATTTCAAATTAAAAAAAATGTGTGGTTGTTCATGGTTATAATTTAAATGCTACAGCCATCAAAGAACACTGCACGGTGCTAAAGCGAATCGCATGTAAAGAGGAAGACACGATGTCACATGCAGCTTGCTTTGTTTACATTTCAGCGGATTAGCTTTTTTGCTAACTTTAGAAACCGTTAGTGGATCGATTTGCTTTCACTAAAATGGCTTCTGCTATTCTAAGTCCACTAAATATTCACAAACGTCTGAAAGCTACCCCCTCTTAACAGTGGACGTTTCAAGGTGTGTGTGTGTGTGTGTGTGTGTGTGTGTGTGNGTGTGTGTGTGTGTGTGTGTGTGTGTGTGTGTGTGTGTGTGTAGCATCTTTAACTAGACTTAAAACTAAGATGATCAAAAAGACAAAATAACATTTAACAATGTTTAAATAACAAATACAAAAAGTGACTGTGAATAAAATATGGTAGAGTAAGTTTTTGTTGACCAACTTCAAAAGTTACTTATAAATATACAAACTCGATCAAAGAAATGCTTTTATTTTGAAAGAGTTAAACTGGACGTATCATAAGCTACAAGCTATAAGTGGTTTGGATTGGCCATTTTGTCCCAAATGATCCCACCCACCTTCAATTAAACCAATAGAATCACACTAGTTTGTGTCAGTCCTCCTAACAGTATTAGCATTTAGCATTAGCGTCCTCTAATAGTGTGAATGCTTCACAGCATTCACACTATTGAGATCATTTTTTCTTCCGTATGTTTTAAGGCATTTCGTTCCACAATTTTTGTGCAATTTTAGCAATTCATTTATATCAAAACATTCAGCTCATTCTTGTGAGGGATGCTATGACTTTTGGTATTTCAGCTTTTTATACATTTTTAGATACAGTATTTCACTTTTTTAGTGACTTTTTTGCCATTGAAAATGAAAGTGGCTATTTTCAACATCCTTAAAATCCTTTAAAATGTTTCTAAATCTTTACAGCACCTTTCACATTTTGTTCTGGTTCTGCTCTTTTTCATGTTGTAATAATTTTAGCTACTTTTTTGCAAATTTTAGCTTTTTTCTGCTATTTCAACTAGCTATTACAACTTTTTTCAGCTAAGGTTAGCAAGCTTGTGCTCCTTGTGCTATTTAAATAATTTACAGCTACCTTTTAGCTGTTTTGCTACAAATCACTTTTATGTAATTTTATGATTTTTTTCCTGCTTTTTTCTGTTTTAGCTATTTTTCAACTATAACTGTCAACTGAGTGCTAATTTCAAATTGTGGCTATTATCTTTAGCTTATTTTATGCAAATTTCAGCATTTTTATGCTTATTTAGATATAGATTTGCTTCTTTCTGCCATTCTTCTGCTTTTTTCTACCTTTTATGCTTTTTTCTTACAGATGTTTTCAGCTATAGTCCGCTATTTTAGCTTTTAGCTGTTTTCTGTTCTGAACTACATTTGGGCTAATTTTTACTGTTTATCTGCAAAGTTAGGCTTTTTTGCTTCTTTTAGCTTTTCAAAGTGAGCTCACATTAACACTTTTCCTTTTAAATATTTTCAGCTTAATTTCAGTAGCTTTCAGCTTAAGTTTTTAGCATGGAGCATTCACACTAGTTTTTATTTTATTTTATTTTTTTATGTGTTTAGCTTTAGCGGAGCTAAGATTTATGTTTAGCAGATTAGTGGTTAGCGAAGCTAACTGTTTAGTCAGCTCTACCTGCCACTGACAAATACCAATAAATATTAATTCAAATGATTAGGTTTTCAAACACCACCTCTGTTAACTCAGCCGTTTTCACTTCTGGTGAATTCCCATTCATGCAAATTTTAAGGATGTGAGAATCTACAGAACATTTGCTGCATCTGTGGCTCTAGGGATTCGTCCTGCCAACCTGTTTGTCCTTTGGCTCTAAGGGAGGAGGCTCAGAGCTGGGTGTCTGTGGACCAGAGTCCGTTCGTCCTCGGTCTGACCAGCGAGAACGGAGAGCTGCTGCTGGACGAGTGCGTCCAGGTCACAGAGGGGACGAAGACCAGGGAGAGACACCTTTTCCTCTTCACTGATGCCATCGTCTTTGCTAAACTAAAGTAAGACACTGACATCACGCCTTTTAGACTTCAAAATAACACAAAATGGAAAGATTTTTGGGTTTATTTTGTGTTGAAAACAAATGTGTTGAATGTTTTATATTTCTACAGCTGAGACTGCAAAGCGAAAAAGGGAAGTTTAAAAGAAACTGGGCTGCATGTTTGGACTGCTGGGGACTATCCCAGCGAGACGTGCCATTGTTGTTTTGTCATAGTTGAAGAGAAAAAAAACAGGTGCTTCCCTGTAAGAGAAGTTATTCGATGAGGGGAATCTCAACGGTTCTCACAAGTGATTAAAAATAAAAATAAAAACTCACCGATGACAGCTGTGAACATTTAATCATAAATAAACATCTTATAGCCTAAGTTTTTAAGAAACTCAGTTATTGCGACACGTGATCTCGTGTTTTAGGTTGTCGAAGTCGGTGTAGATTTTGTAGCTGTGTGGGAACAGAAGCAGTCATCTCTGGACCACAACCAGCCCACTGTTCCTGTAGGTTCACACAGCTGGGACGGCAGCGTGCTACAGTAAACACATGAGTCAGAGCGCTCGTTACTCGTTTTTCATTCTGTTTGGCAAGTTTGTTGTGATGAAGACACTTATTCAGTCACATGAAGACAGCTTTTATGGTTCCTTCTCTTACTCTCACCTAGTTAGTGTTAAAATATCAACCGACGAATCAGTTTGCTCAAGCAGTTGTTCAAATTTGGGGAAACTCAACAAAGATAGATGCTGTGGACAATATGCTGTCCATTAGTTACCTCGTTCTGACAGCTTCTGTTAAAGTCTCTGCTCTTCCTCCTAAAACAGGTCAACGGCCAGCTACCGTCTGAAGCACAGAGTGAACCTCGAGGACGTTTGGCTTCACGGCCTGGAGGACGAGCAGGACGACGTCTGCGACGATGAACCGACCGAAGACTTCGACGTCAGGCTGACGCTCGTCCTGGCCTGGGCTCTCACCATTTGTCTCGTGCGTTTCCGGTGAGAAGAGCTACCAAAAGAGCGAAAACGTTTATCACGATAAGATTATGGCTAAGATTATGGCTTCGGCTCTTATGACGTCATCATCCTGCGACAAAATCAACCACTTAGCTGCTAAGGATGCTAACGATGCTATCACTTCCCTACAAGATATCAAACTTGCAGTAGAGGCTGATATCCAAGCTGCACTTCCACCTGCCGGACCACAGGTACCATCCATATTGTTTTTAATAAACACATTTTGAATTTAAATATCATCTTCAGCAGCGCTAGCAGGGTTAGCGGTTACTATAGTCGCAGAATGATGATGTCACAAGAGCCGAGCATTAATGGCAACGGCTGCATTCCATTCTGAAATTCTTAAATGTAAACTTCAGCTTTTAACCACAACGTTTACGTTTAAGAATTACTATTTATGGAAAACATCTAACATTTAAATTTAATATTTAGTAAAAACTTAGTGACATTTTATTTTACGCTTGGTGCCCCATATTGAATTATTTTAAAGTATGATATGAATGATGGTGGGCCATATGATTGCCTTCATGTAATCGTAGATCTTTACTTTTTATTGGACTTGTTGAAGGACGTGAGGTTTGTTGTTAAAGACGTAAAGCCGTCACCTGCCTTCACTTTCTACTAAAATGCGTACAAGCAAAAAAAAATAAGTTTCTGAATTTTGCCTTTTAGAGTTTTAACAATCTGATCAAAAGAGGAACATCACGTGCAAACGTTAAGCTTTTTGTTTCTTTTTAAATTTCAGTTTTTTTGCCAGTGGTTATCAGAAACACAAGGTCTTCCATCGAATATGTGCACATATTGTAGTAAACGCTCATATGATCTGTGACCTTTAAGAAAATGTGGAAGTAGCAAAGAGAAAGTCGTCCCTGCAGCATCACAAGACGAAAACTGTTTAAAAAGTGTTTAAAAGGGAAGTTTGGACATCGCCACCTCTCCAGCTTTCATGTGAGCTGATTTTAGTAAGAAACGGTGGGTTTTACTGCAAGGAGAAACTTAATTTTGTTTTTGTTTTTTGACTTTTGTTTTTTTTTTAAATTATTTAACTTGTTTAGGCTCAAAGGGGACAAAAATGTTTTTTTTCTTGTGAACTTCTAATTAAAACTCCCAAAGTGGCACCAGATGACAAACACCTCATTTCAGTTAATCACTGACTCCTACATTTCTCGAACTCTGAAGCTCATTTTCACCCATCATTGTATTCCAAGAAGTGTTTATTTATTTTTTTGTTTTGTTTTTAGTTGTGTTGTTTAAGAATGAGAAGCTGGTTGGCCTCTGGTAATGATTCACTGTGTGAAAGTTTCACTCCTTCACTTGAAGACATCGTGCAGCTTTAAAACGGTTCCTGGCCGGATTGCGGGCCGAGCGGCCGGCACAGAACCTGAAACCAGGTTGATGAAAAGTAAAAGGTTTTTCACAGGTGCGGACGTAGGCGCGCGGCGTCTGCGTCGCACCGTCCTGTTTCCACTGATGGTCGAAGCAGCAGAAGCCGACGGCTGCAGTCTATGAGGAAGTGGAAGGAGTCCGGGTCGGGGCACGCCGTGACGCTGCTTCCTGTTCCCATGACTGTGATGCTCCTTTCCACCAGAGTTGTTAAAAGAGGCAGCGGGTGCACGCTGCTTCTCATTCCACCCACTGCCGTCTGAAGGACTTGCTTCGACTCTTTCTGTGGATTAGTAACTCAGACCATGCTGTTATTTCGCCCACAGCTCTCCTGAGGTGAAAGAACGCTGGTTAGATACTCTTCACAGGTAAGAACTACATTATTATATTCTATATTAATGCTTTTATCGCTGCACTGTTTGTGTTAATCATTTATTAAATAACTAAGTCAAAAGATAAGAAAATATGTTTATTATAGGTTCATAATGTGATTTTATTGAGCTAAATCTGTACAAATAAGATAAGATAAACCTTTTTATTTTCATTGTACAGAGCACAATGACATTCACAAGAAGACAGAACAAAATCATCCGATGTTTTCATTTAAACCACTTAAAATGTCTCAAACTTCAATTATAAACCGTTGAAAGATTTAAAAGAAAACAGTGGGACGAACACTTCTTTTCTAAATGGATGTTTTCCCCCCTTCGTCGCAGGAAAATTAACGAGGCGAAAGCGAGGACCGACTGCTCTTCTCCGCCTCCAGACGTCCTCATGAAGGTGTTGAGTGGCAGCATCGCAGTAAGTTCCGCCACGCGTGGCTGAAACCAGAAACATGTCGGAAGAGCTGCCTCTTCATGGACTTCTCTCTCTCTTTTTTTATTTGTTTTCTCATAGAGCAAAACGCTAACAGGAGGAGGCATGGAGCAGCTGATTGAGCCTTTACCTGAGGTGAGCAACGAGCCGAGCTAACAGAAACACTTCATTTCTGCAAAACAAGCTGTAGAAGTTAAATTCGCTGTTCGGAGAAAAGTTTGTATTCTGTCATTCAAAAGCGTTCAGTTACTCAAAAACCAACGAGGCACAGCCCCTCGTTCTTCTTCTGCTTTTGCGTGCACCCTCCTGTTCCTCTTGCGTGCTCATCACCACATCTCTTTACCTTTGTTGTGTTGCCAGGGTGATGTGAAGATCTCGGTTCTGTCAAAGCAGATGAACTCAGATGAGCGACAGCCTTCTGGTGAGTTTGAACCTCTGGCTTCACCTCGCTTAAGTTAAGAGATTAACCACAGAGAGATGGAGGAGATATAACAACTGATTAGGGTACAAAGTGAACAAAAAACAACTCTTGAGTCGTGCACGTTTTGCAGCGTTGCATTTTTTAAAAACCTGGAAATAATCTATTTGAATTTAAAAAATGATAGTTTTGATGGTTTTGTTTTCATCAGAAACCAAGTGGAACGTGGTTCGGAAGATGAAGCTCAGGAAAGGCTCCACCAAAGTGTGCCCCGCAGGGAAAGACTCCAAGACTCAGCTGTTTGGACGACCCCTCTGCCAGATCTGCCCCGACGACGACTCCCTTCCCAAACCCATCACAGTAAGCTGAATTACACGTATAAGGGGCGCAACAATACATGTACCCGTATCGAACCGTTCAATACGGTGCTTTATGTTCAACACACACTTGAATCAAACAATACAGATTTTTAAAATTTATTTTATCAGCTTGTTTTCTGAAGACGCTCTGTGTTGAAGGATCAGTGGATCTGTGTTCGACTACTCCACCTAGGCTGCACTGTGGAGCACAGATCCACTGAAAAACTTGCTGTTTCAGCAACATTTCATTTAAAAACTGGACTCTTGAGATTAAACAAATGTTCATAATTAATTTCAGTAAATTACGAGTTAAAAAGGGCATGGACATTTATTTTTTTGTATCGAAAAAATATCGAACCGTGAGCCTAAAGTATTGAACTGAACCGAATCGTGAATTTTCTGTATCGTTGCACCCCTAATAATTACACCCCAGCTGAAAGATGCAGGATTATTCTGCGGTTATGAGCAGCTAGCGCCTACATAGCTGACCTCATTTAGCTAACGAGGGAGAGGAAGCTGTGCAGCACCCTGAGCTGCACGTTCATTAATCCCCCTCCCTTCTGTCCCACCAGGAGCTGCTGGTGCTGCTGAGGAAGAGGGGCCCGTCCACCGAGGGGGTGTTCCGCAAAACGTGCAACAACCGGCTCATGAAGGACATCCGGGAGCAGCTGGACGCCGGCTCGCAGGTGGACCTGGAGGGTCAGCCGGTCAACCTGCTCGTCGGACTGCTCAAAGTAATTTCAAGCGCCCGTTCGATCGACGCTGTCACCGTTTATTGGTCGCACCGTTAAGTTTTGTTCCTCCGTCTTGTGTTTAGTGTTTCCTGAAGGAGCTGCCCGGCAGCCTGCTCAGGGCCGGGTTCTACAGCAGGTGGATGACGGCTCTCGAGCACCAAGACGCCCAGCAGAGAGCTCTGGAAGTCACAAAGTAAGCAACTTGAGTCACGAGTCTGTTGTGCGCCTGTTCTTGGGTCTGCATCCTGATTTGGATGGAATTTGTGGTGTTTTTATCAATGGTTCTGTGGTTGAAAGCAAGCTTGGGCTTTTTTTTTCTGGTTGGACTTTTATAAAACATTCCGACCCCGTAGACAAACCACTTCTCCCTTTCAGTTCTAAAAAAGGGAAGAAACTTTAATCAAGCAAAAGAGCGCCAAGCTAATCTTCTTCCGTTTTTTTTCTTTTGTTCCTTCCTCTTTTTCTATGATCAGGGTGGTAGACGACCTCCCGGGTCCTAATAAACTCCTCCTGCAGCATCTGATCTGCGTCTTGCATCACATCATCGAAAGCTCCGACCTGAACAAGATGGACGCCTGCAACATGGCGGTGTGCATCGGCCCCACGCTGCTGCAGCTGGACGACACGCCGCTGGACGGGCAGAGGGAGAAGATGCAGAAGGTTAGAAAGTCTCGAAATGAACAAGCTTTCTTACTACTGGGGTCTTTGAAGCTTTGTGGTTCACGCAGCAGATAAACCTCACGAGGTTTCGCAAGGGAGTTCACACTTTGGCAGATTCCAAAGTAGAGCTTAGCTTAAAAAAACAAAAAGTTTTGAAAGTAGATACGACACTATGTGCTGTATCAAGACTTATCTTAGGTTCACTTTTACAAAAAGTTTTAAAGGTATGCAAAATCCATGTTTTTCGGCTGGGGTGTGAAGTGACATGTTTGGATTTAAAGAGACAGCCTCAAAACGAGTTGATCTGAGACACACTTCAGAAAGAGGGGCTTGTGGAGTTACAATAAGGAGGATCTCAGACCAAGGCATTGCAGTTCCACTTTATAAAGACCTCACTGACTGATTCAAATGTGACAAAGGATTTAAAGGCTTCATGTCTCCTTTAAACAAAGCAGCTAGACTTTTATTCCGGCTTCCTTATGATGAAGCTTCAGATCTCGACACCTTTGTACGTGGGATCAAACCATCTCCCATGTGAACCGTGCAAACCAAGAGAAACTCCAGTTTTTAAATTGAAAAAAAAAATAAAAAAAAATAAAATCCCCGTATGGGGAACGAAACATCTTCAACCGCAGATCAGAAGTCTAGCTGCTTCATTTTTAAAGGGATCCCTGATTAGTTCTAACATTAGACTTTATTTGATAAACATTTGTTTTAACTGTGAAAATAAAGACTGTAAAAATACTGTAGGCTGTTTTAGTTTTGTTAATTTTTTACAAATATTTCAACACAGACAGGGCCATTTAATTTACACACGAAGCATTCTGGGTAAATGATGACGTGGATAGGTCCTCGGTGCGAGGCTGCTAGCGAGCTATATCCACCCTAAAGGTTAATCTTGGACAATATCTGATGATCGACTCTTTTAAATGAAACCAGAGAGCGTTGACAGAGAGAAGGTAGCTTAACCCAGCTTAGCCTGTTAGCCTTTGCATCAACGCTATATTGCCTTATTTGTATTAGCTTGGCGCTAACGCGACAAACAAGCTAAACTGAGGTCCTCCATCCATATTTTCAGATGCAGCTGAGTCATTTTTGTGTTCCCCTCTCTGTCATGTGGATGGAGGACCTCAGTGATGAGAGGAGAATTCAATTCAAATTCAAAAATACTTTGAGGGAAATTTGGTAAATGAATGTGTAGCACTGAGCTAATACATATATATGGTGATAGCATCGGGGCTAAAGCTAACAAGCTAAGCTGAGGTTCTTCTTCCATGAAGCAGCTCTGTTGTCCTCCATCCATATTTTCAGTTCCAGGCTGAGTCATTTCTACCTTCTCCTCTCTGTCAACGCTCTCTGGTTTCATTTAAAAGAGTCGATCATCAGATATTGTCCAAGATTAACCTTCAGGATGGATATAGCTCGCTAGCAGCCTCGCACCGAGGACCTATCCACGTCATCATTTACCCAGAATGCTTTGCGTGTAAATAAAATGGCTCCATCCGTGTAATATATTTTCAAACTTTTAATTTAAAAATGATGAAAACTAAACAGCCTACAGTATTTTTACAGTCTTTATTTTACAGTTAAAATATATGTTTATTAAATAAAGTCTAATGTTACAACTAATTGGGGATCCCTTTAAGACTTTGTCAGGTTCTAGATCCACACCAACACCAGCGATGCTAAATTATTCCCGTTACTTATCAGGATGTTTCCTCTGATTTTTCTGCAGGTCACAGAGCTGACCCAGTTCCTGCTTGAGAACTTGAAGATTCTCGGAGAGAATATCCCCAGTTTGCTGGACACTGATGAAGGTAAAGGAATAAGTCCAGGTTTAGATATATGGATTGTGATGCAACAGGAAGTCTAACGGTGTTTTTATTTGTTGTCACGCAGACTCAGTTTCCTCGGTGCATCACGACTCGGCGTACGACAGCACCGACCCGGACGGAGATGGCGAGGCAGGAGAGAAGATCGGGTCCGCACACGGAGACCGAGGCTCGTCATCGTCGTACTCCTCCCTCAGCCCGAGCACCACCGCCTCTTCGTGGCGATCCGACGCCGCGTTTGACGCGAAGAAGCCCTTCAGCCGCCGCTGCTCGGAGCCCACCATCCACCTGACCGTGGGGCTGGAAAACTTCCACAGCCACTCCCGCAGCCACGAGGACTGCTCCGTGGAGAGGGCCGAGTTCGACGAGCAGCCTCTGAAGAAGCAGATCTCAGATGACTCCTTCTTGCTGAGGAGCCGCGGCGGAGCCAGCTCGGTTCTGTCGTTCCCAAAACTGAGTAGCACCTCCAACATGGATCCGCTGCCCTACATGAGGACGGACTGCTCCTGCTCGTCCCTGGAGAGCTCCGCCTCCAACCAGTCGGAGAGCTCCGTTTTCACCAGCTCCCCAATGGGGTCGCCGGGATGCACCAAGAAAGCCAACGCCAAGCAGGACATTCCCAGACCCATTTCAGAGGAGAAGAGGCGATCCCAGTCCATGAGGGTGGGCTCTAAGGTTCTGATGAGGACCAAGAGCTTGGGGGCTTTCAGCAGGAACAGCCTGAAGAAGGACTCTCAGAAGGACAAATCGTTCCCGTGCGAGACGCTTCAGGAGGACTTGCAGAGCGAAGCAACAGCGGAGCTCCTGCCCAAACAGCGCCCCCTGTCTGCGATCGAGGTGTTCAAGCACGTGGACAGCAAGCAGCCCTGCAGACCCCCCACCTACGAGCAGGCGCTGCAGAGCACAGGCCTCCCGCCGCTCTACGGCTCAATGACCGTCCAGGACGCCATGACGCTGGGGAGGAGGTCCCGTCCGTCCTCCGTGAACTACGAGTTCCCAGCCGTCAGGGACTACGTGTGCAACCAGGACTGCTTCAACCAGACTGCGCAGGACGGCAGCGAGCGGCGGCAGCCTTTCCGCCCGAGAGCCATGTCCGAGTCTGTGTCAACGGGCCTGCACGAGGGGCTGTCCCGCAGGTGCAGCCAGCCCGTGTTCGAGGAATTTCCTTACGCCAAGGAGTCTTATGTCTGATTTACTGTTTTCACAAAACAACATATGTTGGTTTGATGTCACTGAGAGAGGCTAAAACGGACCACTCAAACCAGAAAGTCCCTCGTTTTTTGATTCCTCAGAGTTTCAGTGATATATTTACCCAGGTACATGTTTTTTAAAACAGTAAATTCAGTTTTATAGTGACAGATTGGCTCTAATTTTTCACTTTTTTTATTGTACAAAGGTTTTATCAGTCTTTTTTTGGTTTGAGATGAATGAATGTCAGTCATGTGCAGCCTGTGTTGCACATGCTCAGTAGTGCTTTTAAAGTACGACCATTACATTATATGTAGTTTTAAAGATAGATATTTAGTCTATCACCATGAAGCTATAAACACGCAGTTAACTGTGAATGAAATATGCTAAATTTGTGTTTTTCTTTAACGTTTTGCAGCCATAATGATTTGTACTGTACACAATATTCAGCACACTGTGTTTTTGTCTGACTTTTCTGTCTTTTTGCTTTTTGTCGACACACTTCACTTTTCAATCTTCCTCTTCCACTACACTGAAGCACTTTTACCATGATTTATTATGCTTTTCTTATTTTTTATGCTAAAATGTAAATACGTTGAGACACCAATAGATAAGAGATGTTTTATATTTGTTAAGAGCTCTTTAAGAGTGTTGACTTATTTGTAAATGGTTCTTAGTTAACCGCACAAATGGAAGAAAAATAAAATATAATACATAAAAAAGAAGTCTCTTTCTTTTGGTAAAATACATGAATTTAAGGTGAAATTTGTGGGGGGAAAAAGAGGTGCAAATAATCACACTTCTTTTTGTGAGGTGCATTACATAATCGAGGCCTCATTGAGAGAACATCGTGTTCTGGCGCATGCTGCAGAGAGAAACCAGACTGGGTCACATGGACGAGTTTGGTTTTTCTCCGAATCGCTGTTCCTCTTGTCTGTGACGACGCAATGAGCTGATGCCACCGCTTCTTCCTTCCTTTCTAAAGCAGTTTTAACGAAGCTTCCTTCCTCAGCAAGTCGATTTAATTCATCACAGAAGTGCAAGAGATTGAGAGAGAGCATCTTTCTGCAAACTTTATGCTGAAAATCAAGACATGATGGTTCAAACAAGAACATGTTGCACTTTAATAAAGCCAACTAGCGCTCCAACACTCATGGTTAAAGTCATCTGCATCTGGTGACTCTCATTTGACTTTTTTGAACAGAGAAACTTTCTACAAAGAAGTGTGAACAGAAACTTGCGATCTTGTTTTTGACCATAAACACAGCTGCAAGTCTTTTACTGATTGCAGCAGCTTTTAATGCATTTGCAACAAAACACTCTGCAGCGTCTCGGTATTAGCTGCAGATTAACAAAAGCAACACCCTAAATGTCTAACAAGTAAATTAAAAGAGTATGTAGAGTCCCGTGTTTGCGATCTAAGAACCGTGCATGCACCAAACCTTCATCACTGTTAGATATATCAGATAATTCAAAACTATTAATGACAAAAAATAGCTGCAGAGTGGTGTAAGTGTGGCCTCAGAAAGTCTCAAAATGTCTCTGAATATTTCAGTATCTCTATTACAGTCGAAAAGCATAATATCTACAGCCATGAATTAAATAAATTGGGTAACGAGCTAGCTTTACTGCATGAACATAAATTTAAAAACATAAAACGAGGTTAATTTTGCGCAAAACTATAGGTGAGTCCATTTTGATGGCAGCTAGTTTTATATATTGGACTGACTAAGTTGACTAATTGGCTGAAAATATAGTCTATAACAGCACAAAATTGTGTTGCATTTTGGCTAAAAGGCTAAAAACATAGCGTGCTAACATTTTAAAAACTCCCAAAAGCTGTGTTGTATTTTTTATTAGCTCAAAAAATAAAAGTTAGCATGCTGACAATAAACTGATATATATGACAAATTAAGCAAATGTGGTCATTTTTAATTTGATTTTTGATTTTTTTTTTGCAAGCATGGGACTTAGCATGCTAATTAGCTGGTTAGGAAAGGCTGCAGTCAGGAAGTCAGAGTGAAAGTGGGTGCTTGTCTGTGGAATTTGCGCAAGCTGTTGTGTTTTCCTTGTGATCACTGAAAAGCAGACGAGTCCACCAGTAAAAATCACCCTTATTTGGTTGTGAATTTGTAAAATTTGTGTTAAAACAAGGACAAAGTTTCAAACGGTTGCTTTGTTGAAGCGCCAGCCCCTACATATATAATATATTTGTTGCATTGCATCGATGAGCAGCATCTTCAACACCTATTTTTAACTTGAGCACGTTGATGAAACAAGGTACCATTGATGCTTCGATCATAATGAAGATGTTCTGCTGAAGCCCCCCGCCTCCATCAGGGACCATTGTAGCGGCTCAGCTCACTGTGACCACTCACTGATAATGAAGGCAGAAACTGTACACAGGCCAGCGCATTCAGCGTGACGAGCTCTTCCAGCAGCGGTACGAACACGTACGAGTGTGGCAGGAAACACTGGGAGATACAGAAAAACTGAACACAAAACAAATGTAAAAAATAAGCTTAAGAAATGAAGAGTGAAAAACAGATACTTTGGAGGGTGTCAGCACCTTTAATGTGTATTTAAATATTCAAACAAAAAGTATAGAAATAGTCAGTATATATACAGGCTTTTGTGTTTTGTGTCTAAAACCACCTCAGATCAGATGATGAAGGCAGGACTATGGAGATCAGATCTCTGTTCTTGTGTTTTTCACACAAAACAAAGTTAAGATGGACAGTTTTCTGGGTGTAAATGTGATCAAATGAGTTCTATGTGGTTTTGGACGTGCGTACACAGACATGGCGTATGTGGGGCAGCTGCAGCACCTCCGGGTCAGGCCACTTTCCATTTTCGTTAGTGCACAAAATCAGATATCAGTTCATCATACAAATTTTCATTTTAGTTCAGTAAACAATCAAAATGAGTGCTTTATTAGTTTTTGTTTCTTGCCTGAATGTACACTGAACGGAAACATACCGTTATTCATGCTCAAACCCTTCAAGATGCAGCTAGAGCCAAAAGCCATTTGTTGACTCCTTTTTTTATATCTATCTGCAACATAAGATATATCCTGCAAAATCCACATTTCTAGCAGTTAAACACATTTTGTTGTGTACTTGTGTCTATAGGAGTGTAATTTAAATTTGTCTCCAACATGTAAGGCTGGATGGACAAGTCTTCCCTTGTTGACATATTTTAATTAATTTGTAATTAAAAAGTTTCTGTGCTGCTATATAATCGTAATTCCTCCTTCAAACTGGAATGGAAACTGAAGGGGAGCGGGGTGTGGAGTGCCTTAAAGAGACAGCCTCAAAACGAGTTGATCTGAGGCACGCCTCAGAAAAGGGGAGGGGCTTGTGGAGTTACAATGAGGAGGAATTCAGACCAAAGCGTTGCAGATCCACTTGAAGGATATAAATGTGAAAAAGGAGGATTTAAAAACATGTATTTTAAAGAATCCAAAACAAGGCAAACGTGTTCTTAAAACCTTGTCGCTGTGTTTTATGAGTCACTTCAAAGAGAAATCCAAGGCCACAAACACCAAAGAGCTGACATTATGAGTGTCTGACTGCTGAAAAAGGGAAGAACGAGTGGAAGGCAGCCCTGCTTGTTATGTAATGGTAGCTGTCACCAACAACAACCAGCTAATACGCTGACGAGCCAACTTCTTTTAACGCAGCGTAATGATTCGAGGGCTATGCGACGCACATAAAGGAGACTGATAAAACAGAACCCGCTTGTTTGAATAGATGTTCGTTATTCTTTTCTGAAAAAGACATTTTTTATGACACGGTTCCATCTGGCTCCCCTCCATCAGCTGCAGCTAAATGTAGCTGCAAGTGTTGAGAATGTAGCAAAGTTACATAACAACCTTTGCTCTTGTATATAAAAACTGTGTTACCTGTTATGTAAAAAATGAAATATAAAATAAAGAACAGTGC